AACGACTAAACAAGTTTGACAAAACCTTGTGACAAGACCGAGAATAATGATTTCTTAAGTTTACGCGAACACTACACATTGAATAAAACTAAATTTACGGATTTTATCGCGTTTATTTCACTACTTTTACTTATTTTTAATTCCCGACGTTTCAGGTGCTTTACAGCACCTGTGGTCACGGGGGGACTGAGATGTTTGACGTCCCAATGTCATAGTTAGTCCGGTTACCTTCAGTTTTTGAATATTAATTTTTGGTCCGATTTATGCAAAACGAGCTTATAGTATCATGAAGTCTTGCAGTGGTATGCTTAGGTTTGGGTTTAATTTTATTATTATAGGATCCCAAGCAGGTGGCAGCACCCATCCATCTTCTCTATTGAAATTTGGATGTTTTTTAATTTCAATAGCCTCGCGTATCATCCTTGGTAGGAATCGGTGTTCTTTTGCGAGGATTTGTGCTTTATCAAGGGATCGTATGTAATGACTCACCAATCAGCTATATGTTCTTTCAGGCGGGTTTTTGTGGATCTTTTTGTTTGACCTATGTAAGAGAGACCACATTCACAATCTAACTTGTACACTCCTGGATCTTGTAGAGGGATATTACATTTGACGGATGGTAAAAATAGACTAATCTTCTTCGGCGGCTTGTAGTACGTTTTAATGGAAGCTCGGTTCAAGATGTAGCCAACCTTGTCTGTGACTCCTCTGACATATGGCAGTACAGCAGGTACACGCTCGACTGTGGCCGGCTTCACTCGGTCACTGTGTCGTAGGCGCGGGACCCGAAGCTTGTTGTCTTGCAATACTTGCTTGACATGCTGAAGCTCGGCGGCCAGATGTTTTCTGACACAGATCCCTTGTGCTCTCTGAAACAAAGCTTTACCCACGGTAGCTAACTGTGAAGGATGATGGTGAGATTCACCATTTAAATATCGGTTGGTATGGGTCTTTTTCCTATACACAGTGTGACCAATTGTGTTATTAGGATTTCGAATGACTAAAACATCTAAGAAAGCTAAAGAATTATTTGCCTCTAACTCCATTGTGAATTATATTTTAGAGTTTATGGAGTTAAGGTGGTCTAAAAATGCAGTTACTTTGTCAGGTGGTAAAATTGTGAAAGTGTCATCTACGTACCGCTTGTAGAATCTTGGATTTACAGGAGCAGTAAGAAGGGCTTTCTCCTCGAAGTCCTCCATGAATATGTCGGCGACTATGGGAGATACAGGTGAGCCCATCGCCACACCATCTACTTGCTTGTAGAACTCTTCCTTCCACAATAGATAGCCAGATGTGAGGCAGTGTTTGAGTAATACTGCATATTCAGCAGGCATGTTATTATCTTCTAGCTTCCTAGTTACAATAGAGATGCAGTCTTCAATAGGTAGGCATGTGAATAGTGACTGAACATCAAAACTGACCATAGTTTCATTGTCAGCGAGATGTAGGTCTTTTATCTCACTAACAAAATGGTATTAATCCTTTGTGTGTGCTCTGGTATGTCCTCTCAGTGGTGACAGTACTTTTGCCAAGTGTTGTGCCAGCTTATAAGTTTGTGAATCGATCTGGCTCACTATAGGACGTAATGGAGCGTTTGGTTTGTGTATCTTCGGTAACCCATACAACCTCGGTGGTTTGGTACATGATGGTATTAGCGAATTCACGTCGAGATTTAATTTTTCGGAGTATTTCTTTGTAAAATCGCTAGTTGCTTTAAGCGTGTTAGTTGTGGGGTCTGTTTTGACCTTTTTGTATGTACTTTCGTCTGATAAAAGCTGTAGTATTTTAAAATTATACTCTGACATGTCCATTATTACCGTAGCATTTCCTTTATCCGCGCGGAGAATCGTTAGCTCAGGTCTGTTCCGTAAGTTAATCAACGCTGTAAATTCGTCTTTAGGAAGGTTTGGTTTCGGTAAGGTAAGGAAGATTTGGAGGCTATACGTCAAGATATTTCGTCCTTGTTACGTCGTAGTTCAGTGCCGAAACCAAACCTTCCTGAAGATGAATTTACAGCGTTGATTTTTTTGCTTTCTTTTTGTATTTGCTGCTTTCTTCGTATTTATTGCTTACTGTTAATTTCTGGTGATAAGAGTGCATTAGAATAAATATTAAATTTATATAGCCACTTTTACTACAATTAGTGAAGTCAGTCTCATCATTGTTTACATTAATTCAAAATTAATGTCTCTTTCATACTCGTCCACAAGAATTTTCTTTGCTTTCTCCAGCACTCTGGCCCAGTCATCACTTGTAAAGTAGTTGTATTTTTTTAAATCCTCCTTCGGCGTATCATAAATAGCAAATTTTGAGGTGCTCACCTTTTTCCAAGGGCATGTGTCATCTGTCCATGTCTGCGGCACAGTTTCGTAGGCATTTAGTCATGGTTCATCAAAAATATCTTTGTCCCAATTGGTTATATTTTTAATTTCTCATGAAAATGATATTCTTTGCATTCATGTGTCTAAATAATTATATTGCATGTGTCAATTTTTTGTATTGGAAGCCAATTCCTTTTCAAATGGTTCTGAATGACTTTACTACTATTGCACAAGTGGGCATCCTCTAAACTTACTCGCAACTTCGCCACATTAAGATTCACAGAAATTATAAAAAAATTAGACTTGTTTATGACTCATATGATTTATCAACTTTAAAAATAAAAATTTAAATAAACAAATTATAAATTAAAAAATATAAACATTCAATTATTTTAAAAAATATATCATTTTTTCGCATTAGCATGAATTTTAATTATCCAAATGCTATGGTAAGGTAAGGTATGAGTGGTAATGACATCATTGAAGTAACATCAAGCTTAAAAGTTGATTCTGGTTCAGTTTTTTACATTTTTCTATAAATTAGTTTTATAGAACTGTACATGTCATAATGAAAATACATAACTTCATAATTCTTTGGTTTTTCTTTAAAAATATTTTAAATTACTGAGTATGCTTGTACAAATTTATAGCAGAATGATTAATGTGAAATTTCAAAAGGTATTTCTTACATTTGGTTGAGTATAACTAATAACACTCTTGGGAAAATATATTTACTTTGCTTGTACATTGTGTTTCGGTGCTTTTATCAAAGCTTATACTTAATCAAGAATCTAAATAAAAATTAAACATAACTAAAAAAATTACTTCTTTGTACTTATTTACATAATTTGAGCAATTGCACAGCAGAATGAAATTTATAAATCTAAAAAATTCACACAAACAAACAAATTAAAAATTACAATTGTTTAAATAAAATAGTTCAATTGTTTCATATTAATTTTAACTTCATATTCAGACAAGTATGATTAGGTAATTTATTTGATGGATATCTTTTATCTGACAAATGAAAAATTAGCCTTTAGTTGACCACAACTTTCAAAAGATCCACTTTTTTCTTTTGTCATCATAGAATCAATACAAAATTTTATAATTATACCAACATTTTTATGATCAATAGGTATATTCAGTTTCCACAAATGTCTAAATGTGCCAGACAAACATTTCTGTTTGTCTGGCACATTTAGACAATGCATCTGCATTTTAATTTTAATCACAAATAAAGTTAATGTAAATGTTTATTGATCGCAGCATTTATTTACCAGGCAGCAGCAGGTGTACTGTATGGCGGTTTGTCACTCTTACTTACTTACTACTATAAATATACTCCAAAGATTGAGCAGTGGACAACTTTATCTGCATGGAAACCAGGTTGTCATTTGTGTTTTTGTACTAGACATATTGTCCAGAAAAAGTAGTCATGTAAGATAAAACACAACTCAATAATTTAAAGTCGAAGATTGACTATGAAATTAGTACATTCATCAGTCAAGTCAAACACCTCCTTATGTGATAATTTTGCATCTTCCAATTATATATAAATGTGGTTGAGCCTTGCTGTAGCCACATTATAGTCATAGTAGAAATGGGTTAGCTCACCCAGGAAAGGACCATGCTCCCCGGAATACCAGTATAAAATAACAGCTTAATGCTACTGTGTTTCATTTCACATTTTAACTGGAAATCAGGCATTCCATCTCAGTATTCAAGGCTGACAACACATCTGCATTTTGATTCATAATCGGAGAAAGATGTAGATGTTTATAGGTCACAGCATTCACATACTATCCAGGTGTTGTTTGGATGTTTGTCATACTTACTCTATAAAAAGATATAAAGATGACATAAAATATAAATATTTTGAACTCAAAGAGTGACTGACACCTACTTAAATTGAATACACTTCCAATCTTTATTTTATTTGGTTAAAACTGTAGAAATTATTAAGTTATTATAAATTAGATTAAAAAAAAATAGAAGAAAATTGTAACAGTATCATTTGTAGATTCTAGTTGGAGAGATGTTCTGTTTGTGTGACAGGGGAACCCTAAAAATTATTCAAAAATACATCTGGAAATAAATTTTTATCTACACTTGCACATTCTGTTCACAATATAATCGTTTTTATGTAATAATTTGTAGATGATATATCAGTACTTTGATTAAAATACTGTTGCTTTCATTACTTGAGTTAGAATATTTACCGATAATGTTGTGTGACTAAAAATTATGAGAAATATAGAGACCAGGCTACATTAAGAGATAATATGTATAATAAACACATTTCTTTATTCACATTCCACTCCACTTCACATTATCCTGTTATTTGCTGTTAGATCCATATCTGAACACATTATCAAACTATCACTTCTAATGTAGAAAAAAATGTATACAGCAATATCCTTTGTCTTGACTATGTGATGTAAATACAAATAAGTATACATATAAGAGCAGCTCTTATCGACGCAAGTCAAACGGCGCAGCTTGGTCTTGTTTGATCAATAAATAATGTCCTGGCCAGACACAATCACCAGTTATGGCGCGCAATAGGTACTACAATATCGATTTTCGACAAAGCAAACGACCTTCAAAAACCTATACATAAGATAATAATAATAAATATGAAATAAAAATTAAATAGTCCATGAATATACTTACAATTACCACCACAATTTTCGACAACTGCGTGTACTACATCTTCGCTTACCACTTCTCCAAAGGTTTCAATAAGAGTCTCAATTACCCGACTGTAATCACTCTCTTGTCGACCCGCGTCTTCCATTTTAATAATTTACACCCATACAAAAACATGGATACTTTTTATTACTCTGATAACTCCATTTTTCTTGTAAAATGAAGATGCAGAAAGAGAATTTTCTCAAAATGTTGTCATAGATAAATAAATATGTAGCAAGAAATGTTGTTTACGATTATATTTTAATTTTATCCGAACTGGGACCCACGACCCAAAGAGTAGAGTAACCATAGACTACTAAGTGGGTGACAGTAACTGTCCTGTGATCATGAAGGTTAAGCGTGCTACATACGACATGATATCGGTGGCGATCTAGGGTGGAGTAGTGGGGATGCCTCCTGGATTGCCTCTAAATCGTGTCATATGCAGGGCCATCCTAAGTCGTGGCCGATATCGCCTCCTTAATTGGCTGGCAGGAGCAAAAAAGCATGCATACTGCGTTTGTGTAGGCGCATCGGCCCGATTTCTTTTGGTTGTCGCTGCCTGCAGCCCTCGCGGAAGGACGTTAACGAAAACAGTTATACTGAATGACCTTTTTTACATAACAAAATTTTTACATTTTAATCATGTGAACGAAGTAGAAGCCTATGGCACTGATTCTTCACACAAAAAAAAAAACAAAAAAAAATCTATCGAAATTCAAATCATATCCACCCTAGCCTGTGACCCTGCGAAGTGACATGGTCAAGAATGCCAAAGAATGCCTACTAAACTAGTTGTTTTATTGCCGTTCGTAAAGTAGGGTGTATGAAGTAAGTAAGGAGAAGATAAAGCCTCTCCTCAACAACTAACTTTTACAGTGGTAGAGCCACGCGGCAGCTTTGCTGTCGCACGTATGGGCCGGCTCAAACCGGGGTGGTACCACGACCTCACAGAATACCGGCGTGAAGTGGAAGCTCTGTTTCCGCGTTTCGTCTGGTGAGTGCAGGTGGCCGGAGGCCCAAATCCCCCCCCCCCATCAACATGGTAGCGGAATTAAATGATAGACTACCCCAGGAGGGTACCAGCACCCCTGGAGAATCCCTCGCTGAGCATCCACGACCATGTTTCTCCACTTCTGAGCGTGGGTGCTCAGGCTGCCCCGCGTATTCTGGGGGGGGGGGGCAATATTCCGCTCAAGACTAAAACTGCTCGGGGCAAACGGAGCAACAAGACCAAGGCGACCCCTGCCACGCTGTCCGTGAATTTCTGCAATATCAGGGGACTTCACTCTAACCTAAACGCCGTCCACTACCATCTCGAGACGGCGAGGCCGGCTCTGCTCTTTCTGACCGAGACGCAGGTGTCCTCTCCGGCTGATGTCTCGTATCTCTCCTGCCCGGGGTACAAACTGGAACACTCCTTTGTGCCTCGGGCTGGAGTTTGCGTTTACGTCAGAGAGGACATCTGTTCTCGACGCCTCGGCAGACTTGAAGGTTCGGACCTGTCCATCCTTTGGCTACGCGTAGACAGCGACGACCATCCGCGCATCTACGGGTGCCTCTATAGGTCCCATAGCGGTAATGCCGAAACAGACCGACTCTTCGACCACGTCCAAATGGCTGCAGATTCGTTGCTACAGCAGATCCCCTCCGCAGAGATCGTGATCCTCGGCGACTTTAACGCCCACCACGCCGAATGGCTCGGTTCACGTTTAACCGATCATGCGGGGAGATCTGTTCATGATTTTGCCTTGGCATATGGTCTGACACAACTGGTTACTTCGCCTACGCGGATTCCAGATGTGGAGGATCATGCACCTTCCCTGTTGGACCTTCTGCTGACCTCTCACCCGGACGGATATCAGATTTCCGTCGACGCCCCTTTAGGCTCCTCGGACCATTGTCTTGTCCGGAGTGTGGTGCCACTCACGCTGAAATCGCGGTTGCATTCTGCAGGCTGCCGCCGTGTTTGGCACTATAGGTCAGCCGATTGGGATGGGATGCGGTCTTTCTTTGCATCCTACCCTTGGGGGCGGGTTTGCTTCTCGCCGGATGATCCTAACGTTGTTGCGGATTCTGTCGCTGATGTGGTACTTCAGGGTATGGAACTTTTTATTCCTTCCTCTGTGGTGCCCATTGGAGGCAAATCTCAGCCATGGTTTGGTCGCTCCTGTAAAATAGCATCATGCTATAAGCAGGAGTGCTACCGAGCCTGGGCTGACGCTTCAGCGTCCAGGGATGTAAACACCAGCGCTCTAAAAAGAAGTATAATTCCGCCTCTAGGTCCTTCAAAAGAGTCATTGCCAAGGCAAAGTCAGAGCACATAGGCAGAATTGGCGAGAGACTAGTTCGTCTTCCTTCTGGAACCCGTGCATTCTGGTCTCTCGCCAAGGCTGTCCAGGGGAATTTCTGTCAGCCATCTCTTCCATCTCTGCACAGGGAGGACGACTCACTGGCCCACACCGCAAAGGAGAAAGCCGATCTTCTAGGCTCTTTCTTTGCGTCTAACTCGACTCTCGATGACGGTGGGAGTACGCCGCCGACCATCCCGCGGTGTGAGTGCTCCATGCCGGAAGTGCAGTTCACTCAGCGCTCGGTTCGCAAAGCACTCCTCTCCCTGGACATCTATAAGTCGAGTGGGCCTGATGGAATCCCCCCAATTGTGCTGAGGACGTGTGCTCCAGAGTTGGCACCGGTTTTAACGCGTCTTTTCCGGTACTCCTACTCCCTAGGCGTAGTCCCAAAATCATGGAAGACGGCTTTCGTCCACCCGATCCCTAAAAAAGGCGACCGCTCAGACCCGTCCAACTACCGGCCTATCGCCATCACCTCCTTGTTCTCCAAAACAATGGAGTCCATTGTAAACTGCCAGCTCATGAGGTACCTTGAGGATCACCAGCTGATTAGTGACCGCCAATACGGTTTTCGCCGTGGTAGGTCAGCTGGTGATCTTCTGGTCTACCTAACTCACAGATGGGCGGAGGCAGTAGAGTCCAAGGGGGAGGCATTGGCCGTTAGTTTGGACATTGCGAAGGCCTTCGATCGGGTTTGGCACAAAGCGCTTCTTTCGAAGCTCCCTTCCTATGGGCTCCCCGAGAAATTGTGCGATTGGATCACCAGTTTTCTTGCAGATCGGAGCATCAAGGTCGTTGTAGACGGTGCAAGCTCCGATTGCAAGCTTATTAATGCTGGTGTTCCACAGGGCTGCGTGCTATCGCCAACGCTGTTTCTTCTGCATATCAATGATATGTTGCAAACCCGTAGCATTCATTGCTATGCAGATGACAGCACTGGTGATGCTCTTTACACCGGCCGAGCCAATATTTCTCGGGAAAACGTCTCTGAGTGCCGGGACAAACTTGTGTCTGAAGTCGAGTCTCTGCTGGACAGAGTCTCGGATTGGGGGCGACTAAATCTAGTCCAGTTTAACCCCCAGAAGACACAAGTTTGCGCGTTAACCGCTAAAAAGAACCCCTTTGTCGTATCCCCTCAGTTTCAAGGCACTCCCCTTGTTGCCTCAGCCAGTATCGGAATCCTCGGCGTCGACATATCGAGTGACGTGCAGTTTCGTGGTCACTTGGAAGGGAAGGCCAAATTGGCCTCTAAAAAGCTTGGCGTGCTCAGCAGAGCGGGACAGTATTTCATGCCGGCACACCGCCTGCAACTTTACAAGGCGCAGGTTCGGCCGCTCATGGAATACTGTTCCCATCTCTGGGCTGGGGCTCCCCAGTACCAGCTCCTTCCACTTGACCGCATCCAGCGCAGAGCGGCTCGAATCGTCGACGACCGAGTGCTTTCCGATCGGCTCGACTCACTGGCGCTGCGAAGAGATGTTGCATCTCTTTGCGTATTTTATCGCATCTATCACGGGGAGTGCTCTGAGGAATTGTTCGGATTAATCCCAGCCGCCAAATTTCGTGAACGCACTACACGGCAAACGTCCCGATACCATCCACACCATCTGGATGCTTGGCGGTCCACCACTGTACGTTTCAAAAGGAGTTTTCTTCCGCGTACAACCTCTCTGTGGAATAATTTACCACCGGTGATTTTTCCGGACCGATACGACCTGGGGACCTTCAAGAAAAGAGCTTACTCCTTTCTAAAGGGCCGGCAACGCACCTGCAATTCCCCTGGTGTTGCGGTTGATCATGGGCGGCGGTAGTCACTTAACATCAGGTGAGCCACATGCTCGTTTGCCCCCTCTTCTATAAAAAAAAAAAAAAAAAAAAAAAAACTAACTCCTATTCCAACGCTATCAACACAAGACCGCACTCAAATCTCTTACAACTCCACAAGACCACACTTCGATCTCTTGCCTTCATCCTCTCATCAACAACTAACTCTTATTCCTACAGCATCTCCACATCAATAAACAAGCTTTTTAGAAGGGAGTATGTCCGAAATTAAAGGTTTCTTTATATTAAAAAAAAAAGATATAAGCTATTTTATTTTTTTAAAGTTTTAGTCCATAAATAAAGATTACATTAAAAAAAATAAAAGTACACATTACATATTATTATATACCTATACAAAAGTATTTTATTTCTTTGATTGTTGTGTGTAGTACATAACCCGATTTTGAGCAAAGCAGAAATGAACAAAGAGAAGAAATAACTAAATAGCATAGGTAGAAGAAATTGATGTTTTTATATAAGTGGCGAAATCATTTCTAGAAGGTTGTACAAACTGTCTTCATCCATCCGGAGAAAATTAATCATGTCTTTGGATTACAGACCATTTAGTACGTTAATGTGGCTTAATTTTTGTCTCTTTTGGAGCCATTTTTTCACCCAGAAACTCCTCTTTTTCTATTTTTGAATAAATTAACCGAGATGGCTAATGCCAAACCAACACGTTTGTATGTAAGAGAGTCGGAGGCATTTTGAAGAACTCTACCGCATATACATTCCGCTCCAAGTCCGAACGCATACTGCTAGGCAGGCCCGTGTGTAGGGTCTGCCCCGATAAAAGCCCCGATTTCTTTCCACCCTAGATCGCCACCGATATCGTCTCGTATGCAGCCCGCTTTAGAGAACAGTAGAACGATCGAACGACGACTGCGAAGTTAGCTGTTTATGAGTACAAGTAGGTGAAGTTAGTTGA